TTAGCTAACAGCTTGCACCAACCCTGTTTTGCTTTTTAAAAAATGCTAGCAAGGTTTACTGACATATAAAAATTAGATTAGATGAAAGAGCAAGGACAGATTTTATTACATTTATTTGCTGCTGTCCTTATTAAATATGTGATTGTAAGAGTTTCCTTTTTAAGATGCAAAATGTAGGCAAAGAGTATTTAAATAAATCATGGACACCACAAATAAATCACCACAGCAGAATGAACCGCCAACTACTCTGACATATGTTTTACACAGTGGATGCCCTTCCAGCGACAACTCAACACTGAGCTGGGAAATACCCATATAACTTTGCTTATATTACAAAAAGTTATCTTTTTTATTTCTCACTGCTTGTGGTAGATTGTTTTGGTCAGACTGTTAGCGATTTTTTAAATTACACAGTATTTACCTGTGAACTGAACTGTATTTTACTGCAGGATGGTTATCCAGTATGTCACTGTATTGTAAGTTGTACTGTACATGAAGTTGGCATGGTGGTTAGCGCTGTCGCCTCACAGCAAGAAGGTCGCTGGTTTAAGCATCGGCTTGGTCAGTTGACATTTCTGTGTGGAGTTTGCATGTTCTTTCCATGTTGGTGTGGGTTTCCTCCAAGTCCTCCGGTTTCCCCCGCAGTCCAAAGATGAACTAATTTGGCCGTAGTATATGTATGTGTATGGGTGTTTCACTGCATATAACATATGCATTAATAGTTTATTTAATTATTTATGGAATAGTGGTTTATTTTGCTGTGGTGACCTCTGAAATAGAGACTAAGCCAGAGGAAAATGCAATGAAATGTATATTGTGCATCAAAATTACCTTATATTTTACAGTAACGATAAAATACATACTGACAATACATAAACAGCAAGATAAATGGAGCTGTAAAAACAGTATTTTTGCTGTAATAGATTTACGGTAAGTTACTGGCTGATTAACAGTGCTTTATAATAGCTGGCTACATCTCCATCCCCCAAAATTCCAACCCCCATCTGGTGGGCATGTTTTACACCCAGTAGGGCTTCCCAGTAGGATATGGAAGTTGAACTTGATTCTCCACTGTGTCCTGGTATTCATTTACATGATTCAGAGCTGATTATGGAAGCCTTGTTTTGGCTGAAATCCCGATAGAAGTGAATAGAGCAGAAACGTAATGCTCATTTCAGCCTTGGTCCTGCTGAAGCAGTCGGGTGTGAGAGTCTTGCTCAAGGCCACATTGCCGATGACTCACGGCTCGTGCTCTGCGTAGAACATCTGAGGATATTGATGGGCATGATATTGTATTTTAGGCCTATCGAGTTCGGGATTAGTGTCTCTGAAGACATGCTAGCTGCCAGATATCTGTGTTCGCTGTCTCTGAGGGGATAGTTGAGTGTGAAGTTTTAAGCCTAAAGTAGGCGCTTTTTTTACGCATACGTTAGCATATGCTCGCAGTCCAATGCACAAAGTTGCTCTCAAAGTATTTTCCATTCGTTAGTGTACACAAATTCAGGCCTTCAAAATGTGTGCACTAAAAAGATTCTTCCTTGACCAGTGTCTGTACTTTTTCTCTCTGTTATGAGTGAATACATTATATTTGTAAAGATATATTTTTATTCCCTCAAGCCCTCACTTGTATTCTAGGCCTCTACTGTTTTTGTCTATGTTCTGCCTGCTTCATTTCTTTTCTGACAATGATTCAACAGTTTAGCTCAGTGCTGACACCTTATAGACAAAACAGTTAAAGGGATAGTTCACCCAAAAACTGAAAATTCTGTCATGTTTTACACATCATTCACTTGTCACAAACCGGTTTACATTTGTTTCTTCTGTTGAGCACAAAAGATGTTTTTTTTAATTACTGAAAACCTGTAACCAATGAATTCCAGTGTATTAGTGTTTCCTACTATCCTCAATGGTTACAGTTTTCTAGCATTTTTCTAAATAACTTATTAATAATTGGGTGAACTATTCATTTATTTACTTTCTAAAGCTCGTATGCATTTTTGCTCTACCTTTTTACTGAAGTCTACTTTCACTTGGCTTTGCAGCTGACTGCGCATGCACAGTTGTGAAAGTAACATTAAATAGTTTTACTTTTTTATTTTTTATTTAAACGACTCAGAAAAACTTTACTATATACTCGAAGAGGATGAAATGAGTGGTCTAACCTGGCTGCAAAATATATGTAAACCATTAATATTGATTTATCAACGCACTTGCCTTTACAATCTACACGTTTTAAACTTGTAATTATGATTATTTTTAGAGATATTGTCTGTTTTCATTTCGTTTTCTCATTTGCTGTATGTTTTATTATTATTTATTATTTTATTATTAATTTGATGATGTTAATGCATTACATAGGCTATTTTATATGCATATCTAAAATGCTTTGGCATTCAAGTTTGCTTTGAACTTAAAAGAGAGAGAGAAGCAGATTTGACCTGTCAGTGGGTGCACATGGCTCCTGAATAGCATAAAAGTAAGAAAAATTGTGGATGTTTTTTATACTTTAACCAATTAAAAAGATAATTAATTCATTTTCTTTTATAGCTTATTCTCTTTATTGATCAGGGGTTGCCACGGCAGAATGAACCGCTAACTTATTCAGCATATGTTTTACGCAGTAAATGCTCTTCCAGCCACAACCCAACACTGGGAAACACCCATACACAATCACATTCTCACACATACACTACGACCAATTTAGCTTATTAAATTCACCTATACCGCATGTCCTTGGACTGTGGGGGAAACCAGAGCACCCGTAAGAAACCCATGCAAACATGGGGAGAAAATGCAAACTCCACACAGAAATGCCAACTAACCCAGACGAGGCTCGAACCAGCAACCATCTTGCTGTGAAGCGATCTTGCTACTCACTGCGCCACTGTGACGCCCCTGAAAAGAAACAGTGTCATAATAAATAAAAATATTGTTCAAAGAAATTAAATTATGTTTTGTTTGTCATATACAGTTAATTATTTATGTAATGTGGGAAAATGGTGTGTTTCAATTTGGCTACCACTGCAAGTATATTTCAATCCCTCGGGAAGCATTGCATTTATCAGTATATAAATTTAAATAAAATTCCCTAATATAATGTGGATCTATGACTGTGCAACCATTGAGAGTGCTGATAGGCTCAGTCTGCTAGATTATGCCTTATCCCTATGTCTTAATAATAGTTTTGAAAATGACCTGTTGTCATTCATTCATTTTCTTTTCGACTTAGTCCCTTTTTAATCTGATATTTCTCAAATGATGTTTAACAGAGCAAGGAAATTTTCACAGTATGTCTGATAATATTTTTTTCTTCTGGAGAAAGTCATATTTCTTTTATTTTGGCTAGAATAAAAGCAGTTTTTAATTTTAAAAAAATCATTTTAGGGTCAAAATTAATAGCCCTTCTAAGAAATATATTTTTTCTACAGTCAACAGAACAAACCATTGTTATACAATAACTTGCCAAATCACCCTAACCTGCCTAGTTAACCTAATTAACCTAGTTAAGCCTTTAAATGTCACTTTAAGCTGTATAGAAGTGTCTTGAAAAATATCTAGTCAAATATTATTTACTGTCATCATGACAAAGATAAAATAAATCCGTTATTAGAGATGAGTTATTAAAACTGTTATGTTTAGAAATGTGCTGAAGAAATCTCTCTGTTAAACAGAAATTAGGGAAAAAAATAAACAGGGGGGCTAATAGTTCAAGGGGGTCTAATAAATCTGACTTCAACTGTATATATATAAATATATATATTCAGTTATTCATACAACAGGATATTCTGGAGGCCATAAAAGTTTTGTAAAAAATAATGAAAAATGCTTTTGTTGAATGGCACCTGGGCAACACAGTGGCTCAGTGGTTGGTATTTTTGCCTCACAGCAAGAAGATCACTGTTTTGAGTCCCAGCTGGAAGTTACGTTGGCCGTTTCTGTGTGGAGTTTGCATGTTCTGCGGGTGCTCATGTTTCTCGCACAATCTTAAGGCATGTACTATTTGTGTACTGTGTGTGTGTGTGTGTGTGTGTGTGTGTGTGTGTGTGTGTGTGTGTGTGTGTGTGTGTGTGTGTATGTGTGTGTGTGTGTGTGTGTGTGTGTGTGTGTGTGTGTGTGTGTTTGTGTGTGTGTGTGAGTGAATGAGTATGTATGGGTGTTTCCCAGTACTGGGTTGTGGCTGAAAGGGCATCCGCTGCATAAAACATTTGCATAAAATAATTGATGGTTTATTCCACTGTGGCAACCTCTAAGCCAAAAGCGAATGAATGAATGAATGAATGAATGAATGAATGACAGCTTTTTTTTAAAAAGGCAAAGAACGAGTTAACATCATTTAAATGCTCTGCTGATCAGAAAATTCCTGTCATGTGCAAGGTTTGCAAACCCAAGCATACATATAAATCCTAATGTATACTTTAGGCTTTATATGAGCAAACAATACATTCATAAATACAAAAATCCACCACACGCCAGATGGGAGTTAAATTTCATGGGTTAAAGCTCAAGCCAATTGATGATATTAGAATATCAAACTGAGAAGACTAAGCTAAGACTGCAGATGAGTATGAAATGGTTTTAGTCTGAATTAATCAACAGCCTTAATGAATCAAATAAATGATTTATTTGAGGCTTTCAAAAACATGAAATATTTGTTTTTAGATAAGGGAAAAAAGTCTCAGAAAATCAATTACCTCTCTATTCAAACACTGCACTGAACATATTATTTGGCAGATGCAAGAAGAAATTACCTGTCCAGCTCATACTGGCACCTCAAATGAATCTCAATTAATAACTGCGAATGAATGACAAAAATACACACAGAGATGGCATTCACCATTTTCTAAGAAGCCTGGATGCGCATGGACCCGTCTTTCATGACAAGTGAAGGATACTGCAACTCTGCCCTTTGCGGATACAATACTAGCATAATTACTGATCTGGAATATTGACTTGGCATTTACTGTTTTATTTTCTTCTGACATTCTCTGTTCTCTCTCTAGGTTTGTTCCACAGAGCAATCATTCAGAGTGGCTCCGCTCTGTCCAGCTGGTCAGTGAACTATCAGCCTGTGAAATACACACGTCTCCTCGCTGAGCGCGTCGGCTGTAATGTCCTTGACACACAAGTAAGGGGCTTGTTGTCGTTTCTTTTAAGCATTCTTAGTTATTATCATGACAATGACAAAGCAGTTGTGGGGGGTTTTTGTTGTGCAGAAGCAAGTGAGATGGAAATAAAAAGCCAAAAACACATCACACAGCTGCACTCAAATGTAGATTATGAAACATTTCTTGGTATGTTTTTAATGCTTTTGAAAGAAGTCTCTTTTGCTCACCAAGGCTGAATCTCTTTCATCAAATATAGAGAAAAACAGTCATATCGTGACACACGATTACAATTTAACATAACTGTTTTCTATTTTAATACATTTTCAATGTTTTCCTGTGATGGCATAGCTGAATATTCAGAAGCCATTACTGCAGTCTTTGGCTTCACATGATTTTTTCAGGATAGAGAGTTCAGAAAAGGATTCATTTTGCAGAACATTATAGATGTCTTCACTGTCGGTTTTGATCAATTCAAGGCATGCCTGATGAATAAAAAGATTAATTTCTTTCAAAAACACTTTGACTGCTCTCAGATATTGGAATGGCAAATGTCTGAGTTTAGTCTGTGACATTTGAAAAAATGAAAATTTACACACAATAGTGAAAATAAATGATATGCAAGTCAATAGTTAGCATCAACTGGTTTTCAACATTTGTAAACGGGGTTAGAAAGTCGGGGAGCACTTTTAGCTTAGCTTAGCAGAAATAACAGAATCGGATTAGACCATTAGCATCTCATTCATTCATTCTCCTTCGGTTTAATCTCTTATTTATCAGGAGTCGCCACAGCAGAATTAACCACCAACTATTTTGAGTAAATGTTTTACGCAGCAGATACCCTTCCAGCCACAACCCAGTACTGGGATACACCCATACACTCCCACATTCATAACCATTAGCATATCACTAAAAATGTTCCTATTAAATGATTTTTCTATTTAATGCTTCTTAAACACTTCTGTAGTTACAGTATTTACTAAGACCAATGGAAAACAAGAAGTTGCTATTTTCTATATGTCTGTGAGCTCCTATTTCAGAGTCCAGACTGTTGTAAATGTGCTCAGAAATACATGAAATTGTGGGTAAATTACGGGAGTTTTCAGGGGGACAGAACAATATGGGAGATGGGTCTGAAATACGGGAGACTACTGGGAAAAACGGCAGTGTTGGCAGGTGTGACAGAGATTTCCCTGTATTTCGCTGTCATAATCGGGAGATCACAATAAATTTACTCAGAAAAATCCAGACCAAAGCAAACACTACAGTACTAAGTTACTACAGTAATTTTTTTAATCTCTTAATGCAAATCAGGTTGTGTGAGGAAGCCGATTTAATAGTTTGTGTGTGTGTTTTACGCAGGACCTGGTTCTCTGCATGCAGAAGCGCAGCTACAGGGAGCTGGTGGAGCAGGAAATCCAGCCTGCACGCTTCCATGTGGCCTTTGGTCCAGTCATCGACGGCGACCTCATACCAGATGATCCCGAAGTGCTGATGGAGCAGGGGGAGTTCCTCAACTATGACATCATGCTGGGCGTCAACCAGGGGGAGGGATTCCGCTTCGTGGAGGGCGTGGTGGAGCCTGAAGAGGGTGGAGTTTCTGGCTCCGATTTTGACTTCACTGTGTCTGACTTTGTGGACAGTCTCTATGGTTATCCAGAAGGGAAGGACACTCTTAGAGAGACCATAAAGTTTATGTACACTGACTGGGCTGATCGAGACAATCCCGAGACCCGCCGGAAAACCCTCGTGGCCATGTTTACAGATCATCAGTGGGTGGAGCCAGCCGTGGTGACAGCCGACCTGCACGCACGTTACGGCTCTCCGACCTTCTTCTATGCCTTCTACCATCACTGCCAGAGCCCCATGAAGCCCCCATGGGCTGACTCCGCACATGGTGATGAGCTGCCCTACGTTTTTGGTGTTCCGCTTATCGGTCCGACAGAACTCTTTCCCTGCAACTTTTCCCGTAATGATATCATGCTGAGTGCTGTCGTCATGACCTACTGGACCAACTTTGCAAAGACTGGGTAAAACAGACCACAGCATTTCAAAACACCATGCAAAATGACCATACAGTCCGAGATAAAAGCAGTACAAAGTGAAAAATTATAATTGACAATGAATGCAGCAATAAAATATCTAAATTATTTAGATGATAGGTCTCAAACTCAGTTCCTGGAGGGCCACAGCTCGGCACAATTTTGCTCCAACACTGATCAAATACACCTGATCCAAATAATCACACTGCTCAAAAAAATCTTGAACACCTTGATTATTTGGATCAGGTGTGTTTGATCAGGGTTGGAGCAAAACTGCAGAGCTGCGGCCCTCCAGGAATTGAGTTTGAAACCTATGATCTAGATAAGGGGTGGGCAAACTCTATCCTGGAGGGCTGGTGTCCTGCACAGTTTAGCTCCAACTCTAATCAAACACACTAAACTATGCAGGACACCGGGCCTCCAGGATAGAGTTTGCCCACCCCTGATTTATTTTTTTTTAACTATACAGTGTCATAATGCATCCTTTTATCAATTTGGTTTAAAGTCTGTACATTTAGAAAAAAAAACATATAGTAAAAAAGCATATATGTTCACAGATTTCTTGGTAATGTGTAAGAATACATAACAGTTTAGCGATAGTAGCACATTACAGCACTGGGTCACAATAAAGCTAGCTCCAGTCTCACCCAACCTCCGGGTTTACTACAGCAAAACAGAAATGACTGCTAAACTGGTAAACAGTCACTATGACCTTGAAGTAGGTCACAGAGAGCATAGTGAGAAACTGTGGGAGGAGTAATGCTGTAAGTAAATTTCAATGTAAAACAGAGCACCAGTATTGAACCCAGTGAAACGGTGCCCTCTGTTGGAAACAGGTGGCATTACAAACAATGCACCTGTAGATAATCGATGACCCATTTCAACACAACATTATCACATTGGGATCACTGTCACATTTCTTAGTTTGCTTTTTATGTTTAATGTGTGTTTAAAAACGTACATATTTATTAATTATATGTTGTTAAAAAGTTTGGAGCCTTTTGGATATTTTTATTTTTAGAAGTCTCTTATTCTCATGCAATCTGCATTTATTTTTACGGGGTGTCAGTGTCATATCATGGCTCAGTAATCATCCTAATGAATTGATTATCATTATCATTGATTATCTTTCGGATGAGACATCCGTCTTTTGGATGAGACGATAAACTGAGGTCCTGCCTCTAGTTATTAAAAATCCTATGGCACTACTCGTAAAGAGTAAGGGGGTCGCCACAGCAGAATGAACCGCCAACTAATCCAGCATATGTTTTAAGCAGCGGTTGCCCTTACAGCTGCAACCCATATCTGGGAAACATCTATGCACATTCATTTACACGTACACTACGGACAATTTAGCTTACCCAATTCACCTGTACTGCATGTCTTTGAACTGAGGGGGAAAAAGGAGCACCCAGGGGAACCTGGATGCCACCGCATCGCCCCTAGTTCATTCAATCAAGCATTTATTAGTGATGAAAACAGTTGTACTGCTAAATATTTTTACTAAATATTTCTATGACTTCTAATGTGTAAAAAATGCTTGAAATAAAGGTTTTTAATTTTTTTATCTTACAGACCTTTAGTTTTTAACCATGTGTTGTTATAGTTCAGATCTAATTACTTGTATTTTGTGTGTCTCAGGGATCCGAACAAGCCAGTTCCTCAGGACACCAAATTCATCCACACCAAGGCAAACCGTTTTGAAGAAGTGACATGGGCCAAGTATGGTCCTCATGACCAACTCTACCTGCACATTGGGCTGAAGCCTCGCGTTCGAGATCACTATCGGGCAACTAAAGTGGCCTTCTGGAAGCATCTGGTACCTCACCTGTACAACCTGCATGATATGTTCCACTACACGTCCACTACCACACGGGTTCCACCTCTTTTGACCACACACAGCTCTCACAGTGCCACGCCACGCCCAGGAGGTAACAAGGCCCGTACTTCTGGTAAACAACCCCCCCAGTCGACAGCCCGCAGTGGGCCACTAGTCATTGCCAATCCCCGTGATTACTCCACAGAGCTGAGTGTCACGATCGCCGTCGGAGCTTCACTTCTGTTCCTCAACGTCCTGGCCTTTGCTGCACTTTACTACCGCAAAGACAAGCGGAGTCGACAAGACACGCCCCCTCAGCCCGCCCCTCAGCGCCAAACCCCACCTATTGACCTCAACTATGCGCCCACTTCCATCTCAGGGGGGAATCAAGAGGAGTTGTCACTGTGTGACCCCCTGCGTTTGACCCCAGCCTCATCTCCACGGGATTATGCTCTTACACTCCGCCGCTCACCAGATGATATCCCGCTTATGACACCAAGTTCTGTTGCCATGACCCCGAATAGTGGCACTATGACACCCAACACTGTAACCTTGACGCCCAACAGTGTTACCATGACCCCCAACACCATAACCATGTCACCCAATTCTTTGATGGGATATCCCAGCATGCACCCTTACAATACTTTCACCCACGGATACAACTCCACCACCCTTCCCCACCCACACTCGACAACACGTGTATAACATGCGACACTTCGACATTAGCATCTCACAATTCCTTACTACACAATCACAGCGACTGATTACTGTAAACCACATCGAACAGTGCAAACTGTTTAGCAGTGTTTGAAAGTACAATAGCAGGTGAAACCAATACAAAATACATGAGCACAATCACCTTCGAATTACGGCACTAATATGAAACAGTACGACTATTGGAATAAATCACGAACAATGTAAACCAGAAGGAAATATCTCTAGCAAAAACACGGTTCGGTTGGATTGGTATAGAACTTCCCTTGACAACATTCTGGAGAGACAAGCTTGTGTGTGAGCAGTTCTCTGTGGACAGACAGAAGACGAGATTCCCTGAGGCTGAGCTGCAGTACCGCTGCCGCCTCCAGGTGGTGCTGCAAGACTCTTAAAACCCTGCAGGTGTTTTGATCCGTGTTTTGAACAGTAAGGGGCGCTGGAGTCCCATCAGTGGTTCAACATAACGAACCAAGCAAGCACTTATTCTAAAATATGTAATAATAATAATAATAATAACCTGTAATAACAAACATATTAATGGCTATTGTACAGTATAACATATATTAACGTCAATGTACAGACAGCTTTTTTGAATGTGTCAGAAAAAAAAAATATTTCTAATCGTTTTTAAACTCAGATTATATCCATAGCAGAGAAGGTCATTTTGAAGCCCAGATTGGTTTTGAATCCTTAATTCTTTATTTCTTTCTTTATAATCGCAACAAATGTTCTATTTTATACCACATTTCTCTCTCGCTGTCCTTCTTTTTTCCTCCCTCTTTCTCTCTAGGAACGGGTGAAATGTGTACTTTACTTTTGGTGTAAGCGATTGATTTAGTTGTAGATTACGCAAACAGAGAGTATTTTAAAGAACACAGAGTGTGAAGATTATTCATGAGCGAGATTTTCAAGTTAAGCATCTTTAGATAATTTGTGTCTTGCTAAATGTTATCATTTTGTGACAAATGCTTTTCGGTCATCTTAAATCTGTATTGTATCTGAGTTTGTTTGATATGTTTTGTGAAGATGTTGGATCTCAGTTTGAAAGCACTGAGGTTTTTTCTTTTCAGTATTTATCAGTGATATGACATCACTCACACAGTAATATGGCATCACTCACGCTGTGATTTTGACATACAGGCTTTGCTGAGAAACTACAATGTTAATCTTTCCTATGAAACATGAATGTGGTGATTTGTACTGAACACTAGGGCTTCTCTAATGAAGGTCGTTCTCAAATATCGTGTTTACTATGGACCTGCACAGAGTTTGCACAGGGGACACAGTCGTGTAGTCATGGTGTCGTATCCAGCCAGATGGTTAGATTCTCCATGTTAGCCATTCTAACCACCCCTGCCATGATTTTTGTGCCAAATTTTGCGATACAGTTTCCTTGGTAACCAGCGGGAAGTTTGTCTATTAACGTGTTTGTGTGAAAGTTCAACAGCTTTATAAATTAAGAATTTGCAGTATTTACGACCATTTAAATTCATCTGGACTTTGAAGAGGAAAGAATGGGATGCATGGAGTTGGACAGGGGGAGTGTGAATCTCTCCTCCTGGGGGAGGGTGACCTGTGTGCTGCTGCTCAGGTCTGTCGGCTTGCTGAAGTCTGTTCTTTTATACTCTGTACATTTCTGCCTCAAATTTGCAGTAAATATTGAGTTTGCCTATAAAGTTTGTTTCTTGCTCATTGAGATTGATTTCTCCACCAATTTATATTCAGCGTAGGCAAAATTTGTGCATTTTTAGAGAGTTAAACTTGACAAAACATCCGTTGTGTGACACTATGCTTAGTTCATTGATCCTCTCAGATGACTTCATGTGCTCGTACAGTGCTCATTGAATGTGTTCAAGAATTGTGATTGAATTATGACATCATCCAGGCATTTTTGTCCACTGGTTTATGAAAAAATTCAGACATACTGATCTGCTCTGGTTGTACTAATATGTTAGCCTATGGTGTGCCTAAAAAGATAGTTCACACCCAAAATAAAGATTTCAGCAGCATTTACTCACACTCAAATTATTCAGAAAAAACTTAATCAGGTTTGTTACAAATGGAAGGTGAGAAAATAAGTGCAGAATTTTTATTGTTGTGTGAACTATCCCTTTCAGAACTAGTTTAACTAATGCACAGCTGTTTTTAGCCAATGATAAACTTCCGGTGAAAGCTTTATGTGATTATTTTCTCTTTCGTAAGGTTCCTTTTACAGCATCGATGTTGTAATGTAAATAGACTTTAAGTATCCATTTGGTTGTTAAAGCATAAAAAGAGTTGAAAATTAAGCGCAGGCACCGTCACTAGCCGCAGGCGAGCGCATAAATTCCATTGAGAATATTGGGGTAAAATTAATTACCATATTTTTAAAGACATGGCACGGTAAAATATCATTTAATGCATTGCTTCTTGTTTGATCTGATACTTTATATTGTATCATATCACAGCCAGGCAGTGAAGATCCCATTTTTCAAAGAAATGAGATCTTAAACACGGCGATTTTGTATGGGATGACTTAACCGGAAGCCCTGGGGCTGGCTGACTGAAATTAAAAGTCTGTGTGCATATACCCCACTAACAGTTAAGATCCCTTTGCATGTAGTTTTAAAAATGGTGTTTACAATTTACGTCCACACCACAGCTAACAATGACAGAAGAATATAAGAATCACTTTCAAAGCTGTGAGCAATGTAAGAAACTGTAAATATGATAACATGTCGTCCAAAAACCTGGTATAAATAGTCTCATGAGGTAATTCTTAAATGTTAAGTCAGATAAAAACCTTTTATAAAAAATAAAACAATATGGGTCTGTGTATTGTGCTGCAAATCCAGAGACTTAGGCTTTAGGTTATATCTTGTTATCACTCATTATATCCTGTTTGGTTTTTGCTAACACTTACAGCTGTTCTCCAAACCTAATTTCAGCTTGGTGCAGAAGAACTGCACTAGAATAACACTGGCAAAAGTTGTCAGCCAACAAGTACACTTTGTCACTCAGAAAGAATGAACAAGAAAATGCTAGGCACATCATTTTCTCCTGTAAAACAAGGATATGTCTCAACTGTGTAAAATTCTCTGCACAACATAAATATCACAGGAATTATACAAACCTTATTGTGGCACTAAGTGCAAAATACAAGACTTTGCATATTCACAATCCTCTTCTTCATTTGGCAGTCTGGTCATCCACATAAATTCTTATGTCATCAAATATTCCATTTTAAAATGTTTAATGTATAATGTGCAATATTACTGTACTGCAAATTGGTTACTGGTTTAGGTCTGTTTTTTAATTTTTTTATGTTGTTTTGAACAAGTTAAACCATTTTGAAATAGGTAAGCATGTACAAATTGGCCCGCAGGTTCATACTGGTTGATTCATGTAATGTAAAATATGTATTTATTAATGCATGTTGCTCAGCTGGGTCAGTTGGCGTTTCTGTGAGGAGTTTGCATGTTCTCCCTGCTTTTGTGTGGGTTTCCTTCCGGTGCTCTGGTTTCCCCCATAGTCCAAGGAGTGAAATTGGTTAAACTAAATTTGCTGTAGTGTGTAAATGTGAGAGTGTATGGATGTTTCCCAGTACTGGGTTGCGGTTGGAAGGACATCTGCTGCGTAAAGCATATGCTAGAATAGTTGGCGGTTCATTCCGCTGTGGCAACCCCTCAAAAATAAGGGACTAAGCTGAAGGAAATTAAAGGATTAAATTGCAGTGTATTATAAAGACTTGGTGACTGATCTTAGAACGACTTTGTTTTAGCTTGCTAAGGTTTTTCCCATTGCCATAAGGTCTGTGTAACAGCTAAAACTTGAGGGCATGGTAGTCTTGAAATGTAACAAGACAGCAGACATAAGGAGCACAAGTGTTGGGTTTTGAGCAGTTTAGACGTACTTACCTGAGCTTTATGCCATATATATATATATATATATATATATATATATATATATATATATATATATATATATATATATATACATACATAAGGAGTGTCATATATGGATATTGGATTGTATGGGCTTGGCGATTTACAAAAATCAAATTCATCTTATTAAACTATTAGAATGACCATATTCTATCCATAACCTACTGAAGAACAAAGTAGTAGTTATTAGCATAATTTCGGGTCGCAAGTCACTGGCATTGTTGTTTTGGGTGTCGCAGGCTGAAAAAATGTAAAACCCATGGTGGTGGTTGGAGCCAACGATGATGGTTAGAGCTTATAGTCATCTGATCGTATCTACTTATGTTAGCACTTGCCTATGTGGCCTGACTGAATTATTGAATTATTGATGATCCACAGTTTACCTCATATAGAGTCCTGCTGTTCAACATGTTTTACAAAAGTTTTGATAAATGTGTCTTACTGATTGTAAGAAAAGCAACAATAACAGCAACACAACTATCATAACAACTCGCCTATTAAAACTTGCCTCTTTCCAGTTTTCACTCATATAATGGAAACAATGTGATTATTTATGTTGTGTATTCAAAAATTTTAAATGGGGGTTTGGCGGATACTTCTAATGAAGCACGCAAATTTATGCTAAACGGCACACTGGCCCTATTGTTTGGTCATCACTGTAATAGTATTGTGTGCGTGTGTACAATTGAGTGAGAGCATTTGTGTGTGTTTGTGTTACAGAAAGAGAGAATTGCCTGTGTGTTCCTATTTCTGACACAACTGTAGTATTGTATTAACTGTGCTCTTGTCCCAATTTGACTCCAGAGAGGTCAAACCTTCCTCATTTTTCTTAACATTTTTGTGTATTTGACCACATTTGTGGGCTTTTGTTATGCCCTTTAGTGAACTAAAACTGAACAAAAATGAAAACGGGGGACTTTTTTATTTAGCTATAAAATAAAGACAATAAAATACATGTAATATTTTACGGTAAGTTTCCTTAAAGCTAAGTGTGTGTGTCCTCAAGTATATTACCAGTAATTTTTGACCACGTAGGGACATTTTTGGTCATATTATTTTGGTCCATGCATGAGAAAAACATAATTATTTTTGTATAGTATTTTGAAAGTGTAATTTCAGATTATTTTCTGTGAAGGTTGGGTTTAGGGAGTAGGAGGACAGAATATACTGTGTGTATAGTATAAAATAATTACGTCCAATGAAAGTCCCCATAAAACATGAAAACACAACCCTCTCTTCCTCTGTGTGCGTGTGTTTATGTACAAAAACTAATGAATAAGCCAGAAGTTAGAGCTACTAGCATCTGTTCATGAGTGTTTTGGCCCTTGTGTTCATTTTATCATGCATGGGAACATTTAGGGTTCATTGCACTGACACACACAAACACACTCACTCTTTATTTATCATGGCAGTGAAAGAGGACGCTGCGTCTTTAAGATCTGCCCCAGTGTGTGTGCGTGTGTGTGTTTGTGAGGGAGAGCAGAGGGGTTTGTTTATTGTTCCAGGGACAAAAGTGTGGGTGAGAATCATAAAAGCATCGAGGGAGATTAAACTACACAGCACATCAGAGAGACTGAGCGCGATACGCACACACATACTCACATGGGTAAGTTCACCTGAACTCACATCAACCAATTAACCACCACTATCATTTACATTACTCCATCATTTTGCTTACTTGCATCATTTTTAATAATTGATGTGTCTGTTGTTTTTCTAAAAATGTATGCAAATGTTTTTATCCTCTCTTTATTTGTATGCAGTGCAAGGTGGCATCTGATTGGTCAGAAGCTTAGAAGCATCATTCCTGTATTTATAGAGTAGATGTATTTATTGCCTCCTAATTAATTGAATAAGTTGTTTTGATTGATTAAGCAGCTGCCTCCGCTGTTGATTGGCTAGGACAGTTGCCACAACGCCTCAGAGGTGTGGATGTGAAGAGCAGTAACCTCAGGAGACTCCGGCCAAAGGTCACACCAGGTCTCTAGGTCAAATATTCTCTTATGTGTGTATGACTCCTGTACGGCCCAGTGTCGCTCTAAAAATGGGCAAATGTTTGCGATAGTCATGTGAAGGGTTCATGCATTCTTAAATGCGTGCATGCATTGCATTATTTTTGAAGGCTTCTCTTTTTTTGCCGTTTAGTTGAGCTTTTTAGCTGTCTGCAGATCACATTTTAGAATAAGCAAATGTTTTTTTTTCACCCCAGAACTGGGGACTCTAAAAATTGTAATGTTTTTATTTATGTGCCATCATGTTAAACCAAAGCCGAGTGCAATCATTTAATTACAAAAAGTGCCAGTAGTTAGTCGATACTGACTTTGATTTGAATAAAAAAAAAAAAAAACATTTTCTGACACGAAAGTCTGTTTGAAAAAAAAAGTGCTATTGCTATTTTAATTCAGAAATTGTTAGTAGATTTTAAGAAATGCTAGTAACACAATAAATGCAACATTATGAAATTAAATATAATCAATGAATTAGTATTTGTATTGCAAGTCCAACTCCAGCATCAGTGGTTCCATACGGAACCTTTAACATCTATGAAACCTTTTCATCCCACAAGGGAATGTTTTTTTAAATTTTCAATAGAAATATGCAGAAAAATTAAACTGTTCTTTGAACATCTATTCACTTAAAGTTCCTTGGAGAACCCAAAAAACATATAATATTATATTTGTGCATATACATTAGATCAGCAGTACTGAAACCAAATCTGGAGCTTATCTAACAAAACAGCTTAAACAGTCCAAAAACAAGTACATCCAAATTTATATGCTATAAAACAATATTAAATACACATTTTTAAAAAGAGGAAATGTCAAGAGAAGCAAAAAATGGAAAAAAATTGTTGAAATTTTGTAGAATGTAATTTTAAATTAGTTTTTTTTGCAATATTTTGCTTGAATTTTATTGTATTATCTTTCAATTTGTAAATATGTTTGGTGACCAAACAAGGATTTTAATAAATATACCTGTTTAATAAATCTGTTTTGTTTAAAATCAAAAAAATATTGCCTATATTCACTGAGAAATGGATACAAATATTCCTTTTCAAAATGGGGTGTACTCAATTATGCTGAGCACTGTAAGTTAAAGTGCAATGTGCTTTGTTCCTATTATAATCAAATTATTGTAAGTGTCAGGCTTAGCTATTATTTAGAGGATGAGTTAGAAGTAGGAATAGAGTACACTGTTATTTAATTTCCTGTAGAATCTACAGTAAATTACTGGCAGCAGTTTACCTGTAACTTACTGTAAATCAGTTACAGCAAAAATACCGTATTTAAATTTACAGCATCATTCATCTTGCATACATTTACTGTAAAATATAAAGTAATTTCCACAATGCAACTTTAAAATAAAGTAACATACTGCATAACTGTAAAATACAGTTCATATTACAGTTAAACACGGTGCAATTTACAAAAATCATTTACAGTGTATAAAACAGGATGACCTGCCATGATCCCAATTGTAACCCCAGTGTCAGTGTGTGTCTGTCTGTGCCGCTATGGGTGGAAACTCAGTGACGCACTCCGCTGCTGAGTGTGTGTGTCTTGTTTGTTCATAAAGATAGTTTTTGTTGTTAGAACAAAAGCCATTATGCCCATCACAAGTGCTTCTTCTTCTGACCACAAAACCTCAAACACACATGAAGACGCACACTCACACACACACACACACACACACCCCAAACCTCACCCTGACACCAGGCTGCTCAGCATAGAGAGAGAGGGAAAGAAGGAGAGAAAGAAGCGAGGGAGGGAGAGGAGCAGCTTAAGCGATGCGTTTTTTTCTTCCTTGAGGTGGACACTGGAGTGTATCTGAAGAAAGAAAGCCAAATTACCTCCCTCAATTTGCACAGCAGCCTCTCTGGAGCGAACGAGCGTCTGCGTGGGTTCGACTCAGCAGTGTCAATGTTTCCAGTGAAACAGCCGTGGTTGTGTAAAGCTCTAGGTGACCTGAGACCCGTCATCTTCTCTCACATGCCGGAGAAAGCAGAAGTCCACAGCCGAGCCTTCCTTCGCTTGTTTGGCTTCCTTTGGTTAAGTTGCTTTACTAATTAATGTCTTATCGATGCAGTTGATCTGCCTGTTAATGTTTTGTAGTGCATTGCTACATTTACGTTGAGGTTTTGTGTTTTTTTTTTGTGGTTGGGGATTGCAAGCAATGCTTGGTGATTGCCTGGGTTCATTTTGTTTGCATTTGGCTTCTTCATTTGTGATCCCATGATACATTGATTACATAAAACTGCGTTACGTGTGTGTGTCCTTGACTAACAGTAGGCCAACTAACTCTCCTAAGTGTGCACGCTCGTTCTTGGTGATTATGTTAGCATAAGGAGTGTGTGAGTGTATAGATGTGTGTGTGTATAGTGTGTGCTGCATGTGCAGTGTGTGTGTTGATCTATTACTCACCTACAGGTTGCTATGACTGCTGCATCCGCTGCCTGGGCGCTGTGCCCTACACCAGCTTGGTGGCCACCCTGCTCTGCTACGCCGGCGTGGGGCTCTTCTGCGGGGCTGGCCATGAGGCACTCACTCATACACACACCTTTGTAGAGCTCCACTTCGCAAGGGACGTCCAGGACTTCACTGTCATGGCAGACTTGTGAGTCCTTAACTTTTTTTTAACAGTTAGAGCAGAGATGGACAACTTGGAGGTCCAGCTCCACTAAACACACCAGCCTAAAGTTTTCTAGTGATCTTGAAAACATTGATTAGCTGTGTTTGATTAGAGTTGAAGCACAACTCTTCAGCACATCGACCCTCCAGGACCAAAGTTGCCTGTCCCTTAGTAAAATCACCGATTTGATGGCACTGAAGTTGTTGAATGGCTCTCCTTCTCTTGACTAATTAATTGAGCTGAACAATGACATTGTCTTGTTAGCTTTTTGGATTTGCTTTATTTTTTAAGTAATTGGTTCTGTTACACTTTGATTTCCACCACAGTGCAAAGACGGGTGAATTGAGTAAACAAAATTGGCTTTGGTGTATGAGTGCATGTGTGAATGTGAGAGTGTATTTTTCACTGCTGGGTTGCAGCTGGAGGGGCAGCCGCTATAATAAAACAAGTATTGGAATAGTTGGCGGTTCATTCTGCTGTGGCGATGCCTGATAAATAAGGGACTAAGCTGAATAAAAAAAGAATGATTCTGTTACACTTTGCTGTTTAAATGTGCTTGATGTTTTGAACTTGATTTACAATGATTGCATGTTCATGCCTTTAAAGCTAGTTTGGCACAATGTTCATTGTATAAGTACTATGTAAATCAGGGGATCTCAATCCGAGTCCTGGAGGTCCGGTGTCCTGCTGATTTTAGCTCCAACTCCAATCAGACACTCCTAATCAAGCTCTTACTAAGCTCTCTAGAAACATATACTTGCAGGTGTGTTGAGGCAAGTTGGAGCTAAAATCTGCAGGACACCAGACACCAGGACCGAGTTTGAGAACCCCTGATGTAAATAGTGGTTTGAAATAATTGACTTGAGGATCTATTTTGTTTATGTCTCATTGTGTCCACATTTTGTGTTTCAGTATAAAGTATTTCCAGTATGTGATCTACGGTCTGGCCTCCTTCTTCTTCCTCTATGGACTGCTGCTGCTGGCTGAAGGTTTTTACACCACCAGTGCAGTAAAGCAGACGTTCGGGGAGTTCAGGAGCACACAGTTCGGGCGCTGCATAAGTCTCACTGTGAGTTTGCATGTGTGCACGTTTTTATTATTATTATTTACTGTTCATGTGCATCATTTTAATAATGCCATTTTAGAGTATGAAAAATGCCAAATGTAAATTGCAGATCTAAAAATGAGGAAGGTGATTTTAGACACATATATATTATATGAACAATAACAAAGGCACTATTGAAATAATTATTCAATTCATTTTAATTATTAATCATTAATAAAATAAAATGACCTTTAATTTTTGTAAAATAATTTTTGAAAAGATTTTTCACATTGATATTTGATATTTATTCATTAGGATAAACCCTTTTTTCTCATTTTCAAGGGGTACAATTAATCACAAACACATAATAAAAACAAAACATAAGTTATTGAACATCCAACAAAAAGAAACATTAACAAAAGGGGAAATAGTATACATACATGCATATACATAGTGCAAAAATGATGTTCAGATCAGTGATCAAATCACCACATAAATAACAACTTTCTCAGGAAAAAACAAGTACAGCAAAGTTTGCTTAAACACCTGAATTAATGTAATGGATCGAATGTTAGCAGGTAAATTATTCCAATCTATTGGACCCTTGAACATAAAAGCTTGTTTACTATACCAATAGATTTTTTAAAACGAGGAACAAAAAAAAATAAGTCTGATCAAAATGTCTTACTTGATAATTTAAGGAAAAAATACAAAATATTGATGCAAATAATAACAATACTTAAAATGAATACATTTAAGTGAAGTTTATTTATAAACTAATTTCAAGAGGATCACATGCTTATGATTGCTTGTAGCCGGCCCTGTATTATTCAATGTATGATTCACCAATCAGACAATTCCTAAGCCACTGTAAGTACCCCAAGTTCCATATAACAGCCATCTTCGTTTTGAAGAATCCCTCGTTCCACTCCTACTTATCCTCCTTTCCTAGATGGGTGGCATGGTGGCCCAGTGGTTACCACTGTTGCCTCACAGCAAGAACGTCACTGGTTCTAGTCCTTACCAAGCCAGCCGACGTTTCTGTGCAGAGTTTACACAATCTCCCAGTGCTCAAGTGGGTTTCCCCCAAGTTGTCCGGTTTCCTCCCACCGTCAAAAAACATGCAACCTAAGTTAATTGAATAATCCAAATTAGTCATCATAGACATGCTCCGAGTAATTGGTTATCTCTTAAGACCAATTACTACTATCTGTTCATTAGCTACTACAGCAGGGGAGTTCTCGAGATCTACCTGAGCTCAAACTTCCCTTTCGCCTTGCAAACTGGAGGGAGCCCTGGGCTCGAGGATCTTATGAGCTCATGGCTCTCTCTTGGGACAGCATGCCAAACAAGCTTTATAAACAATCATCAGCTAAGTATGAACTCTTGAAATATAAATCGACATCAATCTGGAAAATCATTAGTCAGAAATTGTAGGACTGCTGAAATATTCTCCAGCTACACACTCATGGCTAGTAAATTCCCTGGCAAGCCATGATCAGCTGCTTTAGTCAGCACTTTTAAAAATGTCTATTTTATTTTCCTATTTATCTCCAAGGCAAAAATGAGTGTCTTTAAAGCTTTAAATGTATTCTGCTTTTACAAATTCTGTCTAAATTAAATTACTACCATAATATCATACTTGTCAAAACCATGATTTACAGGTAACAGTCATTAAAATGCCATTGTGTATAATCCAAAATTTTGTCAAGCATATTTTGAACAGTGGTCATTTGGTGAAAAATCAATATAAATTGTAAAATGCTTAAGGACCACAGTGCAGCCCCAAAATAATAATTCATTATAATTTAAAATCTTTGTACCCATAGAATACCCATAGGTTTTTTTATTATTATTTATAGAAATGTTACTGAACCTTATTTCACACATACAATTGAAGTCAGAATTATTAGCCCCCCTTTGATTTTTGATTTTTAATGTTTCCCAAATGATGTTTAACAGAGCAAGGAAAATTTCACAGTATGTCTGATAATATTTTTTCTTCTGGAGAACGTCTTATTTGCTTTATTTCAGCTAGAATAAAAGCAGTTTTTTTTTTTTTAAAAAACATTTTAAGGTCAAAATTATTAGGCCCTTTAAGCTATATATTTTTTGGATAGTTTACAGAACAAACCATCGTTATACAATAACTTGCCTAATTATTCCAACCTGCCTAGTTCACCTAATTAACCTAGTTAAGCCTTTAAATGTCACTTTAAGCTGTATAGAAGTGTCTTGAAAAATATCTAGTCAAATATTATTTACTGTCATCATGGCAAAGATAAAATAACTGAGTTAGAAACGAGTTATTAAAACTATGTGATTGGCTGTTTCTCTTGTGCAGTTTATAATCCTGACGTACGTGCTCGCTCTGATCTGGCTGATTGTGTTCGGCTTCACGGCTGTTCCTGTGCTCTTCTTCATTAATATGAAAAGCTCCTGTCACACTGTTAACGTCCTGTCAGAGACCACCTTGTTCAACCAGCAATCCAGGGTCTGCATGGATGCACGCATGTATGGTACGTCAGCGCTCACACATCAATGTGTGTATGTGTGTTTTACAACCCAGCAAACAATTTTTTGTTTAATAGGCATTTAATAGACAGCTAAACATAGACAGCTTGGCTAAAACAAGGCTAAATGTGGGCTGTCAGTGAAAATAGACATCTTAGAATAGCCCAAAACTAGACTAGTCATCTAGTAGACAGATTCGACAGACTTAATATGTGTAGTCATTCATTTCTGTTTATTTGATGACTAGTCTAGTTTTGGCCTATTCTTAGAATTCTATTAGATTTTCACTGACAGCCCAAATTTAGCCTCGTTTTAGCTGAAATGACTATGTTTAGACGTCTATTAGACATCTTTTAAAAACAAAAAATGCTTGCGGGGAATCGTCATGTCTGTGTTATATTGTTCTGCGCAGGATTTCTTTCCTGGAATGCCATGCCAGGGGTTGTTTGTGGAAATGCACTGGCCAACATATGCAAAGCACCAGAGGTTAGATGTTCAAAAAGTGAAAACAAACATACATACACTCAGATTTCAAGAGGACGCATCACTTATTTTTCTTTTTATGTTTGCAGTTCCACGTGACCTATGACCTTTACATCTGTGCTTTCGCTGGAGCAGGAATCACCCTTCTTGCCCTGGTTAGTGAGCTCGCTTTCTACATCTGCCAACAGTCATAATAAGTCAGCTTTATTTACTGTAAAACAGCAGTTCTCAATTATTTTGACTGCAAGACCCCGTTGTTCACAGTCATGGGCAAAACCTCAAGACTGCTGTTAACTGGATGATGGATTATGATTTTGAAAAAAAAGTTTATAACAAATGTATTTATTTTAATTTATTTATTTTAGATTTTTCTAAATCACTAATCAAATATTGTGTTTTTATATATTTACAGTAGGGAATTCACAAAATGTGTTTATGGAAAATGATCTTTATATCTTACATCTGAAATGAAAAAAAAAAATTTTTATATCTTAATAATTTTGACCTATACAATGTAATTTTTGTTATGGTCAAAAATGGAGCATAAGAGGTTTGTGGTTCAGGGTCACATATTTATTATACTATATTACTGTATATTATTATATTTTATTATTTTATATTATATTATGTTATATTATGTTATTTTATATTAAATTTTATTATATTATGTTGTTGTCATGTCATATCATGTTATGTTATGTTATGTTATGTTATGTTATGTTATGTTATATCATATTGTATTGTATTATATTATATTATATTATATTATATTATATTATATTATATTAGATCTTATTATATTATATTATATTATATTACTGTAAATTAGATTATATTAATTTATATTATATTATATTTTATTTGTCATGTCATGTCATGTTATGTTATGTTATGTTATTTCATATTGTATTGTATTATATTATATTATATTATATTATATTATATTATATTATATTATATTATATTATATTATATTATTGTAAATTAGATGATATTAATTTATATTATATTATGTTATATTTTATTTTATTATTTTATATTATGTTGTTATGTCATGTCATGTCATGTTATGTTATGTTATGTTATGTTATGTTATGTTATGTTATATCATATTGTATTGTATTATATTATATTATATTATATTAGATCTTATTATATTATATTATATTACTGTAAATTAGATGATATTAATTTATATTATATTATATTTTATTACTTTATATTATGTTGTTATGTTATGTCATGTCATGTCATGTCATGTCATGTCATGTTATGTTATGTTATATCATATTGTATTATATTATATTATATTATATTATATTATATTATATTATATTATATTATATTATATTATATTATATTATATTATATTATATTAGATGATATTAATTTATATTATATTATATTATATTTTATTTTACTATTTTATATTATGTTGTTATGTCATGTCATGTCATGTCATGTCATGTTATGTTATGTTATATCATATCGTATTATATTATATTATATTATATTATATTATATTATATTATATTATATTATATTACTGTAAATTAGATGATATTAATTTATATTATATTATATCATATTATATTTTATTTTACTATTTTATATTATGTTGTTATGTTATGTCATGTCATGTCATGTTATGTTATGTTATGTTATGTTATATCATATCGTATTATATTATATTATATTATATTATATTATATTATATTATATTATATTATATTACTGTAAATTAGATGATATTAATTTATATTATATTATATTATATTTTATTTTATTATTTTATATTATATTGTTATGTTATGTTATGTTATGTTATGTTATGTTATGTTATGTTATGTTATGTTATGTTATGTTATGTTATGTTATATAAATAAATTTTTGTTTTATTTTATATTACGTTATATTATATTAATTTGTATTGTATTTTATTGTATTACTGTATATTAGATTACATTAATGTATATTTTATTATATTATTTAATTTTTTATGTTATGTTATATTATTTTATATGAATGAATTTTTATATTATATTATATTATATTATATTATATTATATTATATTATATTATATTATATTATATTATATTATATTATATTATATTATATTTTTTGTTTGTTTACCTGATGTATATGAATAGCATGTAAACGATTACTATTTTATTTTTACACAATTTCTACATTAAATAAATAAAAAATATTTATTGGAATAATACATTTATTATCATTTTAATCAATAAAAGAAAATAATGTATGTAGTATTCCCAGTCTACATATAACAACTACAAAAGTGTCCATCTTAACAGTTGAGAATGGTGAGTGGGTATTTGCACAAAAAGTATTTACTAACAATGTACATTTATTTCTTATTATATTAACAAATTTATTTGTATTTGTTTTTTTTTTTGTTTTTTTGCCTGTTGACTGACTTGGGTAAATAAGCCCACTGGTATTTTCTGAGGTCAGAGGTCAGAGCTGTCAAACAGCATGAAGTTGATAAGGGAAGTGCAGCAGAGGGATGTTTAGTTTATGATCAGAAACTGACCTCTCTGCTAATGGCAGATCCCCAGTGTCTCTACTCCCTTTTCCTGTATATTTGGCAGCAGTCATTTCTCAGGCTTTATGTAAAGAGAATCACAGAGCGCTCACTGTCAGCACAGCTCATTAGGAGCAGCCAGGGTTCCTCTGTCTCACTGAGGAGATACACAGTGAGATTCATCCAAACATCAACATTGTAAATAAAAATGGAATTGCCCTTGTGGTCTCAGACACAAACGGCTTTTTCCATAGTTATGATGTTCCCAATTTCAGAGTCTCTTTGCATCAGATCTTTATAAGATGGAAAAATTAGATGTTTTGTCTAGTTACCAATTATTACAGTATCTGATACATCATTGTTTTGAATGTTTTGTAAATTTGTTTACAAATACCCCCCCCCCCCCTGAATTATTAGACCCCTGTTTATTTTTTTCCCTATTTTCTGTTTAACCGATAAAATATTTTTTTAAACACATTTCTAAACATAACAGTTTTAATAACTGATCTCTAATAACTGATTTATTTAATCTTTGCCATGATGGCTGTAAATAATATTGTACTCGATATTTTTCAAGACACATCTATACAGCTTAAAGTGACATTTAAAGGCTTAACTTGGTTAATTAGGTTAAGTAAGCAGGTTAGGGGAATGAGGCAAGTTATTGTATAATGATGGGTTGTTCTGTATCGAAAAAATTATAGCTTAAAGGGGGTAATAATTTTTTTAAAAATCAAAGGGGGCTAGTAATTCTGACTTAAACAGTATGTATATGTGTATATATATATATATATATATATATATATATATATATATATATATATATATATATATATATATATATATATATATATAAATATAAATGAAGTGGCATAACGTAATTTTCAGCCAATAAATTTTCAGTGGCCAAAAATGTGGTACATCACTAGTATCAACACACTTTTAAATTCCCATTGTTGCACATTTTTCGACTGTGTGATTGGCTCATCAATCAATATAGAGTAAAAAAGTCGAGAGCTTATTATTTTATTATTGACGTTATTGACATCAATTTTATCCCGATTCAATATAATATCTTTTATCAGCCCAGCCCCAATATTAACCCTACAATGTTTTTTTTTTTTGTTTTTTTTTTAAGTAAAAACTGCTTTTATTCTAGACGAAATTAAACAAATAAGACTTTTTCCAAAAGAAAAAATATTGTAGTAAATACTGTGAAAAAAAATCCTTACTCTGTTAAACATCATTTGGGAAATATTTGAAATAGAAAAAAGGAGGAAATTCACAGGAGGGCGAATAGTAGTAGAAATGTTGTGCTATTATTAGAATCACATGCCTTGTTTATTGTACAGTGAGACTAATAGTATTTGATCAGACATGTCTTCCTTTCTCATCCACTTTTGTTCTCTAGTTCGTTTACATGGTCGCCACCACCTACAACTACGCTATTCTGCGGTTTCTAGGAAGGAAGGGAATCCGTTGCTAGGTTCAGTTTCTACGCCTGCTTTCCTGCTGCTGCGGTTTCAGTGTCTTCACTGCGGCCGGTGAGGAAACGCAAACGAGCTCCATGAAGCCCCTGCAGAGTTCTAGCTTACAGAGAACAAACACACACAAACCACTGTATTCACAAACCAAAGGACCACAAACTGAACACACACAAAAACACTGATCAATAGATGCAAATAAATTTGTTAAAGCACAACACATAAAAGACTGTAGCGTAGATCTCTGGCGGAGTGGAATCTTGCTTCTGTATTTCTTCACTCGTTTCCTCTCGCTGTGTCTTTATTAGACCGCTCTCATGGCCATTTATTCATTTTAATGATTGTATTCATTGTGCTTCTTGGTCATATTAATGCCTTGCAGTTTGCCAGGATTTTAGCTTTTCTCCACTCTCTTTCTTTTTTAGACACACCCACACACACTACACGTCTTTTTGAGAGAGTGTGATTGTTGTCAGATGTAGGTTTGCATTGTGTGAGACACAGAGAACTCATTATTTACAGACACTAATGTTGGTCCTCCTGTGTGTGATTGTAAGTTTGTGAGTGGTTTTGTTGTATATTTTGACTAACTTTAGCAGTATGCTGAACCTGATCAATGATGGTGCTCGGTCAAAACAACTAATCATTTTTTATTGTTCTGACTCGTTTTAGACAACTAAAAGTTATTTCTAGAGTACTCTTGTGAATAACTGTATGTGATTAATACGAATGTAGAATTGAAACTAAAGTGAGTTTACATAAAATCTGTGTTGACTTCTTTGCAACTCATGCAATAAACTTTAATTTCTTTTAATGAAGGCCTGATGCTCAGCGTCGTCAGTTTTTTCCAAAAAAAAAAAAAGCAACACTATGTAACTTTCTCATGTGGCTCCCTTTGTGCTTGAGAAGCGCAATTACCTGTTGGTAATAAAGCAGATCACACTGTTCTGCTCATAGGCAATTTTTGTGGAATGCCATTTCCAGTAGGTAAGTAAATAAATAAATACAATTTTAAGTACAAAATTATGACTTATGACTTAGTTCTTATTTATACTTAAAAAAAAATAATAATTATGACTTAAAACATAAAAATTGTATTGAAATGTCAAAATTGCTGGATTGAAAACTTTGAAATTGTTGGTTTAAAACTGTTATAAATTGTCAAAATGATGACAAAAATTACTAGATTAAAAAAGTAAAAAGTATGATTTGTTAACTATAATATTTGTTTTACTTTTTATCTCATAATTTCTACTTTAAAATAGATTAAAACCTTGAAATTATGATGCTAAATTAAAATTATGAAAATTCAAAATGATGCCAGTCAAAATTACAAGATAAATTTGAAGATAAGACAGTCAAAAGTATGATTTTGATTTTTTTTTGTAATTTTTAAATTATGAGTTAAAATGTTGAATTTATGACTGAAAAGTTGGGAAAAGGTCAAAATTACAAAATAAAAAGTGAAAATTATGATTTTTAAAAAGTAAAATTCTGAGTAAAATGAAGAGATGAAAAGTGAAAATTGTGGCTGAAGAAAGTTAAAATGGCGAGATTGTGATTAATCTAGATTATGATTATTATGATCAACTTTAAAAATTCTTATGTTAATCTGAAAATTGTGAATTAAAAATTTTCAATTATGAGATAAAAAGTTGAAATTGTTACTACAACTTGATCAACTTGACAGTTTTAACTTTATAAATTCTGATTTATATGTGAAAACTGTTAATTAAAAAAATCTAAATTATGAGTTAAAAATATGAGATAAAAAGTTGAAATAATGACTTAAAATGTCAACTACAAGATAAAAGTAGACAATTTTAGTCATAATTATGAGATAAAATAAAAATCATGACTTTTATTTTGTCAATTTGACTCAAAATTAGAAGTTTAAAAAGTTTAATTTACAAAATAAATTACTGAAATTATGGCTTAAAAAGTCAAAATCGCAAGATTAATGTTGTTTGTCATAATTACAAGATAAAAAAAGACCAAATAACCACATTTAAATTTAAATTGAGTCAAAATTATGACTTAAAAAGTTGAAATTATGTTATGAAAAGTTGAAATGAAGTCCAAATTTCAAGACAAAAATGTAAAATTGTGACTAAAAAAAGTTTAAATTATGGTTTAAAATGTGATTTTATCTTGTATTTTCATTATTTTTTGTTTGAATTACGAGAAAAAAAAAATCTGAATTATTATTTAAAAAGTAAAAAGTGTGGCTTAAAAAGTCTATAATATGAATTCAAAAATCTAAATTATGAGATAAAACTATGTAAAATTACGACAATTATCTTCAAACTTAAAAGATAAAATTTGTGATTTTGCTTTAATTTTTTTTTTTAATATGGCAAAATGTAGATGATGAAAGTCATAACTTTGACCTTTTAAAGCATAATTGACTTTTTTCTTACCTGGTAGAAATGTGTTTCCATACAATTCTATATATGCCCATGGTTCCGCCAGCAGGTCTGTGTGTACGGATCTCTCATTCTAAAATACAAGCGTGATTTCAGGAGCCGAAGCAACAAAATTAATCTAAGTGATCCATTCATATAATTTTAGAGACATTATTTAAGGTCGAAAAATGTTGATTTGGAAATACAAGAAAAATAGTTATTAGTAAGAAAGATGACAAATATGTTGATAAGAAAGAGAATTACTGTAATAAACCAGGGAATTTAGTCAGTAGGTATAATCAACAATGATAATTTACTAAAATAGATATACTCATGTTCTGTACAATAAACCTATTTAATGATGATCTGATGGGTAATCAAATGTACTTTATATTAAACGGTGGTTCTAATGTACATTTTTCCAAAGACACAGAAACACACAATATTGATTTATTAAAAGTATTTAAGTTGGCATATTGACAACACCTAAAACGCAATGTATGAGACAACTTTTTCAGGCTGTGACAATAAAACCATAAAATTCACCAAAAATACAAAAATATAAATGAACATCAAAAAAAACACATTTTATCAGTGCGCTGCAAAGGAAATCTTTTGAATCAGTAATAATTGTGTCCGAAATTACACCCAGTGCCGCTATAAACAACATGTAAAATTGTTTGTTTTGTAGCTGCACTGTAAAAAGCAATGAGTTGACATCAAATTATCAGGTAAATGAACTATATGCATTATTATAAAATGTGTGAACTGAACAGTTCCGAGTTTACTCACTTGTTTAAGTAAACTAATCACTTTTTACTGTGCTGTAAATAAAGAAATATTTCCATCCCTTATTGCTTAATTCAGGCACACTTAGTTTCAGACTCTGTAGTGTCAGTTATCATGTTGACAAGTCCTATCGAGGAAGAGCCATCAGCGCTGGAAGATTTGATCAAAGCATTTTTCACAGAGGACTTTCCCAGCATGGTGGTACATAGATAAAGAGAGATCCCCCAGAGGACTGCTGCAGCCATTACACTGGAAAAACACACAGCATTACTGAGCACTGCAATGCACTGTGGATGCTCAGAGAAAAAAACAAGAGATGCTCTATCTAGAAATGTTAAATCTCTCATGCCATGCCAAATGTATATGACTTTCTCTCTTTAGATGAATGCGCCAAATTTTAAAAAACAGCCTCTGTGAAGCTATATAAGGCAAGAGTGCAGATCCTCCAACGTAAAAAATAAATGAGGCAAAGTGAACTTTCAAAGTGCATTCAGTTTTTTCTACTAAAACTCATGAGACAAAGTATGACAATTTGCTGGAACCAATGATTTAATTTGTGTATTAAAATTACACTCAACCCACATGTAGTTTACCTACACTAGAAACTGATTCACTTTTATTTTTGAGCAAAAAAATAGCAGATCACTTCCAAATGCATGACACTGACAAGTAATAACATCTTATGTATATCTAAACGTGGTGAAATAGACTGGAAAATACAGTTGGATTTTGTTGATTTATTAAGAAATGAATGTGGTATGAGCACAGAGGAGGATGTTTTTAGACTGATGAAAAATGTTGATTTGCAAAAAAGAATCCAGGGTGGTTGTTGCATAACAGTAAAGAATCTGGACTGTTGATGAATAAGTTTGAGGTTCAGATCTCAATAAAGATTAGCTGAGATTTCATGGCTGTAAAACCTACTGTTCACTGGCAGGCATTGTGTGGCTTGCTTGCGTATTTCAGCATGGTATTAAAGGGATAGTTCACACAAAATTGGTTTGATTTTGTTCCTACTATTTATGTCAAGAGCTGATTTTTTTTCTAACGTTCTTCAGAAAGACATTGTAAATGAGAATGCTTTCACTTTTGGGTGAACTCACTCACTATCCTTTGGCTTTGTACCTAATTTATCAGGGGTTGCACAGCATAATGAACTACCAACTTTTGGGTGAACCTTTATTGCGACTCGTGAACATGATTTAGTAATACATTACATTTTTGCAGAAACACTAATGCTAGCTGAATGTTGATGTAGTCCACTTAAAGCTGACCCTTTTACTAGATAAAAAAAAAATGGAACAAATCCTTTAAATATATAAATGAAATGTTTTGGATACAAATTCACCTGTCTCTCAAAAACAATTAGCAGTGATTGATTAAATTACTTCAGTGGTTAAACTAATCAAACTAAGCTCTAAGAACAATTTTGCTCACTTACTGTCCTTTGGCTTAGACCCTGATTTATCAGGAGTTGCCACAGTGGTATGAACCACCAATTACTACAGCATATGTTTTATGTGGTGGATGTCCTTCTTTTGTCTACTTTGTTCCGCTTTGCTCTTTCTTCTGTGTCAGGTCAGGGTGACTGTCTACTACTGGCAGTACAAAGTATTGTCATAAGAGTCAGCAGTGTGACACACAAGTGTTATATTGACATATTAAACAAAGGTGTATTGGACTTTGTTTGTCTCCGAGTATTGGAAAAATGAGTAATTAGCAGAATTTTAATTTCTAGGTAAAGTAAAGGCTTATGTATAATTTCGCCTGGCATCGCATTGGAGACATCCGCCTCAAAAAATGGATGAGGCTTTTATACTTGATGTGTTCACCATTGTGATAATCTTTAAAACAACAGGAGGCGGTCAAAAGAAACACACCGTAAAATCAAACGAATTAACAAGTATCTGGAAGTTTCCGCAACTACGTCAAATCATTAATATCATTTTTTTTTAATAATCTAATTGTTTTTAGCATTTTTCTAAATTATTTTAATGATTATCAAACTTTATTGTATGATTTGCTTTTGTTCTTATCTCAGACAGTTATACCTATAATAGTTTATTAATATAATATATTCATCAATGGCAAGAGAACATGGGTTGCTCTACAAATATATTTTTTGTTATGGAAAGAATAAAAGCCAAAAAAAAAAGTACACTTACTAAAAAAATACTGATGTTTTTTTAGATTTAGCCCACTTCTCAATTCAAATATTACTGTATGGCTAGTTTGTGTCCTCTACTGATATGCTAAAACGCCAATAATGGTCCAGCATTCCTGACCATTATCACCAACAAAGGCTTGAAAAACACTTTAAAATTGTAAAAAATTCATTAGTGTAAAACCTATAAATGGTGGAAAAACATAGATCTGTAATTCTGTAACAGTCGCCATGCGCATTCAAGAAAACTAACAAACACGTCGAGTATAAACCAGCCTTAACCCTTTAAAGGGATCTATTTTGCCCCTTTTTGTAAGACTTATTATAAGTCTCTACTTTCAGCACTTTCTAGTTTCAGCGCAAAAAAAAAAATTTAATTAATGTTTTATAACTCTTTGAAACTGCCCCTTTTGGAATTTAATCTAAATTGTGTTATTTTGGTGACTGTTGCTTTAAATTCAAATGAAATGTGTTCCCAACTCTATTTTTCAAAGAGGGCTGAGCTAAAATTGCATATGGGTTTACATAGCAGCTAATTCAAGATGACTTACTCTGGTGTGTCTATGCTAATGAGGGATTGTCACTAATGGATGGGGCTTTCCCTGTCTGACAATACAAATAACAGGAGAATGTCAAAGTGTTTATGCACACTGTTTTTATCAAGTGTGATTGCGAGAATAATAATTAATGAATTTGTACAATCAGAGGCTGGCTATATTCACACGCTGTTACCACATAAGTGTGTCTCAACACTTTTAAAAGTGATTTTTGCATAACATAACAAAAAAAATGCATTTAATAGGTTTTTTTTTTACCTTGTTTGATCTTTCAGCAGGTGTAAATACAGAGACAAAGGATTTAAAACATTTTTGAGAAAGCATGAGACACTGGCTTCTAATCCTGACTGAGTACAGATGAAGAAGAGATTTGAAGAAATAAACCTTTAGACAATCTGGATGGCAGCGAATGTCAGGAATGTTGATGCTGATTTTCACATTTCCATTTAAGGGCAGCTTGCAGAATGAACACATGGTTTTACCTTTCACACTGCAAAGAAACACACAGAAGACCTCATTAAAAATGACACTCTACTAACAAGGGTAAAAATATATGCAGATTTAAGTAGGACAGGTCAAACTTACTGTACAGTGATTTTACAGCGCTGGTGATGCTTTGTGTACTGGTTTATACTAATAAACTATACCGTGTTAATGTCATGATTCCAAGGATGAAATACTTGAAATGTTACTGCTTTAAAAATGAGTAAAGGAAAATACTATGACACATACTCTGATAGAAAATGCTGGCCAAATCATACACTGTGTTAACGATTTTTGTAAATTGCACAGCATTTAACTATAATATGAACTGTATTTTACTGTAGGACAGTTATGCAGTTATACTGCATTTTAAAGTTGCATTGTGAAAATTTGTGTATATTTCACAATAAAGACATACAATACTCCAAATACATATACAGCAACACAAATGGTAAAAATCCAGTATTTTGTTACTGTAATTCAACTTACAGAAAATTGTAGGCGAACTGCTGCCAGTTATTTACTGTAGATCCTACAGGAAATTGTTAACAGTGTAATCATTTGTCATTCCTCTTTCTGATTCTTTAGATCTCACTTGAATAGGTGCTGTCTGGATAACATAAATGGTGAATTTCAGATTTGATGTTGCTGAGACTACCAACTGAAATGGAATATTGAGTAGAGGGCGGGACTTTCTTTTTTGTGCATCATTCTGTCATCGTAAATGTTGTGAAAAAGGAATTTTTTCTTAAATGTGATATATTAACTGAACTTCTTGAGTGTGAGATGTTTTGCATACTAAGGAAGCATTCATGCAGAAGTAGATAAAGCTTGTCTAAAATTAACTTGAGCTCTGGAAGAACTGAATCTTCTAGTATATACCATATCTGGTGTATACCAAAGGCAGCTCGCCCTATATGCAAGTGCTATTCAAGTTCATGTATGCAGAGAAGTTTTGCAGAAAAGAAGAAGTATGTATGTGTGTGGCCAATAGAGGACTGGAAAATGATTGACAAGTGATGAATTTAAGGAAACCTTATGTTAATATAGCTGCCTATATAAGTGGAAATGAAAACTGTGCGCACTTTCTAAATGTAACTTTTGCATTGCATTGAGGATAACAGAATTCTGTGAATCAAATTATTTATTTGTATACAATAAATTGGTAATATGTTAAACATCGAACAAAACCCTCTTCTAACTTTTATTAAAGAACACGCATGGTATTGATTAAATAGTCCAACACAAACTGATAGTTGGATGGGTGTGGTCAGGTCCGGATTAACCAATGGGCATTATGGGCACAGGCCCAGGGGCCGGTCAATTGGTCATGAACCCGGTTCGAATCCAGCATCTGATGAACACGTTCTTTTTTTTCCACACTACATATCAGATTTTGCCTACTCTTCATCACAAGGAAGACAAGTAGGAACCATTAATAAGTGTGTGTATTAACGAAGACTCAAATTCATAGAACTTGATTGGAGGGGTGTTATATCCAAATCATATGCATTGTAAGTTTGTAAGATTTAATTTTAAAAGTACCCTTAAATATAAATGTTAGTCCTGCTTTTGTGAACTTTAAAAAGTTTATAAAAATCCATTAATTTTCACAAGTAATAGTATGTATTAGTATTTTCTTTTTTCAAAGTGTGCTTTAAATGCTTTAAAAATAAGTTAAACCTTTGTAGACTAAAATATATATGTACTTGTATATACAGTCTTTTTTAATGCGGGCAATACATTATACATTAATTTTATTTAAAAATATTTTTATTAATCTTATTTTTCAATTCAACTATAGTGGTGCGGCCAGGTAGGGGGCCTACAAGACATTGTGCCCAGACGTCTCTGAATTCTTAATCCGGGCCTGGGTGAGGTTAAGAATATTGTGGCTGAAGCCGTTGAACTGACATCAACAGAGAAGCACTGCCACTCCAATCGCAAAAACAAACGTTCAAATTTTAATTGAAGATTACCAAAACTTTTTTTTTCTTTAGTGGATTAACTTGCGAGGATTAATTATTCACTTAAACAATAACAATGTGCTCTAGTAAAATAAATACTGTGAAATTTGATTTCACGCATATTTTAAGTATACATACATTGAACGGTTAAAATAAAAATGAAGCTGTTTTATAAATGACTGACTTACTTCAGTGCAGATTCTTTGTTCAGCCTGTTTTTCTCTGCTGCCACTAGAGGATCTTCATTTGCTTTAGCTGATGAATCTGCAGTTGGAGCTTTCAGAGGAGTCCTGTAATCATTTGTAGGCAGGTTTTCTGCTTGTCTTGGTTTGAGTTGAGCTTGTGCTACAGGTGCGTGAGCTGTTGTTACTTGTTCAACTATACCATCTTCTTTATTCTCTGTGGGCAAACTACCTGATGGTTTAGACTGATTTTTGACTAGAGTTTTGTCTGTTGTCAGAGGCATCTCTTCTCTGAATTGTCCTTGATCTGCTGAAGCTTTATCTGCAATTGCCTTCCCTGTTTCACCTTCAGTGTTTTCAGGCGCCTTCGCTAGTTTTTCTATAGGTTTGACTATTGGTTTCTCTACGACACCATTCTTCTGCATATCTATTTGTGTCTTCAGTGGTGCTTCAACAGGCTTGACTACAGGTTTCTGTAGTACATCTATTTTTTGAACATCTGCTGGTGTTAATGGTTTGTCTACAGGTTTGACTACTGGGTTCTCAATTATTTCCTTTTTAGAAGTATCAGCAGTTGTTTTCAATGGCTCTTTTGCATTTTTGCACGTAGATTGCTCCACTGTGTCTTTTATAGGAGATTCTTTAGATGTCTGCAATGTTTCTCCTGAAGATTTGACTACTGGTTTTTCCACTACACTTTTTACTTGTGTGTTCTGTGGTTCAATGGCAGGTTTGTTTGTGGATTTCTCCTCTACATCCTTTTTAGGTGTTTCTGTAGTCGTCTTCAGTGCTTCCTCTAAAGGTTTGATCTTCTCTACTATGCCTTTCACAGGAGCATCTGCAGGTGTCTTCAATGGTTCTTCTGCAGTTTTGACTAATGGTTTCTCCACTACATCCTTTTTAGGAGAGTCTGTAGATGTCTTCAGTGCTTCTGCCAATGGTTTAACCACAGGTTTTTCCACTATGCCTTTAACAGAAGCATCTGCAGGTGTCTTCAGTGCTTCCTCTAAAGGTCTTTCTACCTGTTTCTCCACTGCATCCTTTTTATGAGTATCTATAGATGTCCTCAGTGGCTCTTCTGCTGTTTTTACCAATGGTTTATGCTCTGCATCCTTTTTAGGAGTGTCTGTAGAAATCTTCACTGCTTCTTCTAATGGTTTGACCACAGGTTTTTCCACTATGCCTTTCACAGGAGTATTTGCAGGTGTCTTCAGTGTTTCACCTGAAGGTTTGTCAACTGTTTTCTCCAATACATACTTTTTAGGAGCGACTGCAGGTTTGTTCAGTGGTCCTTTTGTAGATTTCTCCATTACATCCTTTTTAGGTGTATCTGTAAATGTCTTCAATGCTTCCTCTGTAGGTTTGACAACAGGTTTCTCCACTATGCCTTTCACGGGAGCATCTGCAAGTGTCTTCGATGGTTCTTCTGTAGTTTTGACTAATGGTTTTTCCACTACATCCTTTTTAGGAGTGTCTGTAGATGTCTTCAGTGCCTCCTCTGATGGTTTGACTACCAGTTTCTCCACTACATCTTTTTTGGGAGAGTCTGTGGATGTCTTTAGTGCTTCCTCTGTAGGTTTGACCACAGGTTTCTCCACTATGCCTTTCACAGGTGTACCTGCTGGTGTCTTGAGTGGTTCTTCTGTGGGTTTGACTATGGATGTTTCATCTACATGTGCTCTCTTTGCATCCTTAAGCACAGTATGTGGACTGTAAAACATTCAGAAAAAAATATGAAGCATTTACCTCTACACCTCATGAAATATTAAATGCTGGTGTAGTCAGTAAAGAATGCAAGAACATCAGATTTCTGCTTCAGTTGTTGCATTTCCAACTTCTATTTTAAAACAAATATAGGATACAAGGCCCTACTCAGTATAGACAAATGTACCTAACCTTTTAGCCAGATATGATCCACTTTTGGCTGGTGTGTTTTCAGGCCTAAAGAAGCACAGATTGTTGGAGTTAATGCATCAAAACCTGCATTGAATGCAGAATCACTGAATGCAGTAATTGCAGACCAAACAATAAAACAGCGCTCACTCAAATTTCCTCAAAGTTGAGGTGACGTAAGAGTTTCGAGGGGGTGTGGATGAATCTGAACTACTCTGTGCACATGGCATGATGGAGGAAGAAACTGGACTGCTCTCAGGTGGTGACTCATTCACAGGGTTTACTAGTTTTATTGGTTTCCTGGTAAAGAATAAGCAGGAAAATGTTAGATAAATTGAGCGTTTGAAGGAAAGAGACAATGATGTTAACACTGACCAAACTTAGTGTTCAAGGAAACAAGACCATTGTTTGGTTGAGACTACCACTCTCATCCAGCAGATGACAGTGTAGGTGTGCATTTACCATGGTTTTTCATCTGACTGAGTCTCCAGAACCTCTTGAGATTTCTTAATCCAACAACCATCTTGTTTTAAATTTTTTCGAACTTTTGTCGCCTGTAACACGGCCTTCCTGTTGACATCTATAAAAATGAGAGAAAACTCTCTTTTAGTATATTTTTACATGCAAAAATGTTTGTTATATTGTTTATGCATGCTTGTACCACTGGACATTGTGGGATCCTCTTCCACAGACAAACCTACATTAGAAATACAAGATATATAAAAGAGATTTAAAAGAGATATTATGCAGCACTCCCAAGTAATCATTATCTCTCCTCTAGTTATTTTCTAGATATAATTATCTAGATAATTATATAATATTTTATGTACTTGTGGCAGTACCTCATTCAAGAACAGCTTTGTTTTGGCACAAACAGGTGCTGCTATCACCCTTTACTCTCAAGAGATGCATTCACATAAAATAAAAAAATGTTGCACAACTGCATTTTTGTACTGCGCGTTGTTGCGTAGGATGCCATCCAGAACAAAATCTCTGGTGCTGTCAGTCATACAATAAAACGTATTGTGTAAATGTTTTCTTCATGCACGTTTGGAAATTAATTTCCCTTAACTGCATTTAGTGGACACGTGTTTGTTCTTTATCACTAAAGTGGTGCAGTTAAACAGCTAAAAAATAAATTAAAAACATAAGGACAATAGCGAGGAAGAATGCCACGACAAACACAAATACAAGAATAAAAAGTAAATGTTTGAAGGTTTGTTTTTTGGCACATGCTTTATTATGTATTCAAAAGTGAAATACCAACATAAATTACATTAAGATGAAATGAAACTATCCTCCTACATATTTCAGCGAAGTTAATTAGCCCATGATTTAAATAGCAACGGTCACCGTAAACAATCTTAGTCGGACTAAATCAATAATTCATTTGATTAAATACCGTGTAAACACTTTACCCCGACTTGCCCCAGTGTTGTTGCTGTAACAATTTAACCATCACGCATGTCATCCATCCACTGGCTTTGTGGTCGGCGTTGTGCGCATGCTCCAAAAGACAGCGGTGACGCGCGATGATTACTCAAGTAAACTCAATATAATTATAGATTTTAGACCATAGCTTGTACGATTTTGACATACAGACAGTATGTAGTACTGATCAATGTAGTGGCATTGATCTTGCAACTTCGTCAACGAAGGTACACAGGTAAGACTAGGATATTACTTATATTACTAAACTTAACCCTCGACTGTTGACATAAGCAAAGCATGATTTTGGCTGATTCATGTGCCTTTCAAATTGTGACACCTGAACACACGTCAAATGTCAGTTTGCAACATGTTTCTCTATAGTTGTGATAACATTTCTGGCCCTCACAAGATTAGCTAAAATTGTTGCAGGATCAAAAAGCACATCACACATGTATCGGTTAAGTCCAAACATAATGGCAGGATGTCCTCCTCACTTCCCAGAATAGTGAAACCATCTTCATTGCTTATTTTGTTGAATTGTCATTGATCACAGTCAGGAAGAACCCCTGCTACATAATCCAAACCCACTCAAACAAAAGCTCTCCAACACTCACTGAAGAGATTTTACATTTTACAACAAGACCGTAAAAGCTGCATTAGTGAGCTCCTCTTATGTATGCAGTCATTGTTATCTCTGTGAGGACATTTACAAAAGGACCCATTTTGACTGTTCTGTATACACACAAATGACAAATATGAATAAATGCGGAGGGCTGTGCATTTCTCTGTTGCAGTGTGTGCTCTAAAAAACAACTGAAGTTCTTACCTGTGTGTGATAAGCTGTGCAGTTTGGTCTGAGAGTGACTGAAAACTCACCAAACTGCAAACACTTGAAATGCACTGACAAAGACACAAAACACACACCTCCCTCGCATGCTTGAACCCACCTCTCTCTCTAAAAAAAAAAAAAAAACTAAACATAACTCTCATTCAGACACCTGTGAATTTATTTCCTTGATGTAAGATAGTGATGTTGTCTGTATTTGTGTGTGTGTGTGTGTGTGTGTGTGTGTGTGTGTGTGTGTGTGTGTGTGTGTGTGTGTGTGTTCTTCCAGTCCAGGAACTCTGCGTTCTGTTCTGCTGTTGAAACACAGACAAAGTGAGACAAATGTATAGACTCCAACAGGTACAAAATCCATCTATTTTCACAATTGTACAGTGTATGCATAACATGCTTACTGGAAACTGTAGGATTAATTATATGAATAGATTCCTTTCATCAGTCAACATGACAAACTTTTGATCTCACAAACACACACCTTTGTTTCCATGTTCTGGCAATATTCAGTAGGCTTAAATATTATTTTCTACTGTTTAAAGCAATGTTTCTCAACCATGTTTCTGGAAGCCCATCATCACTGCATGTCTCCTTTGTCACACTTATTACAGGTTTTTCAGTCTATACTAATGAGCTGATGATCTGAATCAGGTGGGTTTGGTCAAAGAGACATGGAAAATGTGCAGAGCTGGTGGTCCTCCAAGAACGTGGTTGAGAAACATTGGTTTAAACTATACCCTAACCCAGGGGTTCTCAAACTTTTCAGCCCGCGGCCCCCAAAATAGCAACACCAGAGACTCACGACCCCCTCTAAGCTCAGAGGTAGTTATAAGCATACAAATATTGCACACAATGCTGCACACACATCAATAGGAACAATATAAACAAGCTTATTGACAACACAAAAAAGTGCAACAGTCTATTTTTTAACATGATTATTAATTTGTTTGATTTAATATTATTCTAACTTAATGAGAACAGTGAGTACAATGTTTATAGCACGAGACTATTCTTGGTTTAATTTTAGAGACTTGGAGCCACTTGGAGATTTTCCTCCTTGTTCAGTCGTGGCCTTTTTTAATGTATGTAAGTGCCATAAAGGTGTCAAAGTTTAACATTGTACCGTAAAATCAATCTGCTGCAACTATTGTTGTGATGTTAATCTAGCATAATTACCCCAGGGGTCCCAATCCAATGGGAAAAAAAAATTGAAAGGCTGATCATTTTTTTTCCCATGTTTTTTATGTAACTAATAAAAATTAGGTAAATATTAAATATATTACAATATATATTCTGCAGGTCATGGATAAAACATGATAGTTTAATAAAATATATGAGATTTTTGGAATTACCAAGCGACCCCCCAGGGGATCCCTTAATGAAAACCTTAAAAGCAAGCTGTTTTTCTATTTCTTTATGCCTAGCGATCATATTGTGGGGAATTTTGTTCTACAATTTTTAGCATAAAAAATACCTGAACCACACAGAAATCCTCGCCAAATAATCTGAAATCTGTATTTTACAGTACGAAAAAAAGCCAAATGAATTCCAGTTGATGGATTACCGTTTTCATTTTTAGAATTTTAAAGTAAATCATGGATTGACAGTCACATATTTGTGTTCATAATATTAATCATATTAGTAATAAATACATTTAATCATCATTTGCATATTTACAAGAAGAACAAAGGCATAGGTGGGGATTGTCCCTGATGATATAGTGCAAGCATGATTAAGCTCCAACCATTTCTTACACAAACCTGCTTAGTAGTCTCTAGTAGACTTAAACACCTTGATTAGTTGGATTAGCTGTGTTTGATTAGGGTTGGAGCAAAACTGTGCAGAGCTGCGGCCCTCCAGGAATCGAGTTTGAGACCTATGCTATAGTTAAGTTGCCATGGGTAATTTCCTAATGTTTTTTATAATAAAAGGAAGGATTACTTCAACCGTATTTACTAATGCATTCTAATTTTTCTAAAATGTATATTATTTTAACAAACCTTGCCTTGATTTGCACGCTGATGTCTTCTGCTTTGTCCCCTATTCGTAACAAGACACTGAGTATATTTTTTAAAAATCTGTTTCATTTACAACATTCAATTGAAACATTTCATTTTTGTCTATTTTTGTAGATCAACAATAAAACAAACAGATAAAAGTTTACATTAAAGAGCCCCTATTATGCAATAAAAAAGGTTTTATTTTGTTTTTTGGGGTCTCCTACAACTGGCTGATCTGCATGCAAGGCCAAAAACACTTACATTATCATATAATATGCATTTATTTTTAACTAATTATCCCAACAACTCCCATATGATTCGTTTAGCGATTCATTCCCAAACCCCTCATTAGTGCGATGCTAATCTGCTCTGATTGATCCGATGACCCAGTCTGTGATTGGTCAACTGCGTTCAGCACGAGACAGAGAGAAATGCCTCTATCAACATTGTTGAAGTAGTCCAGAGTGCAGAGTGTATGTGAGAACCCAATGCAGGAGTGCATTTAAACAGTGCAGTTAAACACCAGCATACTGCTCTATTCTTAACCATAAGTAATAACTGTCACACATTTAGTATTAATCCACACAGTGGCAAAAGCTGACCTATTTTTAACTTGACCGCCACACTTGTGTAGAAACAGGTGACGGGGGCCATAGCAACGACAAAAGGCTCAGAAACGCATTAAGATCCGTAAACAAAGCGACCCGTGTCACATTTTTTACGTGGTTTTAGACGCGATTTGAAAATATAAAGAGTTAACCAGATACAGTACAAGCCACATGGAGCGGTTACAAGTAACAAAACACAATTAAATACATATGCAAGCTAGAGAAAACAAGGAGGCAACTGTTTTAGTTTCACACTTAAGTTACACATGTGAAATGGAGGAAGAAACTGATCCATGAACTGTGTACTGTAAAGTTCCTGTCAAGCTTTGACAAAGCTTTATATATCAGTAGTCTTTTCTGATCCTTTCTTTAACCAACGGCCCATAAATCCCCATTCGAAACACTATGAGTCGACTCTTTTAGAGATGAATCAGTGGTTTTCACAGTGCACTTTAAGATTTAAACCTTAGCTGGATATTACAGCTGTGCTACACACTGCATGGAAGGTCATTTTCAAAAACCCATAATAGGGGCCCTTTAAAATAGAAATGAGAATCTCAGTTGAAGGCATTCTCCAGCCCTTTCCAATCATTTTTCCTATGGCGGACCGAATCAAAGGATACAAAGGGCTAGAGTGAGTTAAATGTGCCACAGTATTTGACATTTTGTAGTATGGAAAGTGAAAACTTTCTGTTTACCATTTCACCATATGTATGTTTGTGTGAGTATCAGCAGATCAATGCTGTATGGAACAATGGTGATGATAGAGTGGTTATCTCATCAATTTTTATTAAGATCTGAACCTGAAACTTATTCATCAACAGTCTAGATTGTTAAAGATTGTGCAATAAGTTGCCCTGCTTTTCTTTTGCATATCAACATTTTTCATCAGTCTAAAAACATCCTCCTCTGTGTGCTCATACTGCATTCATTTCTTAATAAATTAACAAAAACAAACTGTATTTTGCAGCTTGTTCTACCATTTTGTCCATTATGAAATGTATTTTGTTTAAAGAATTGTTTTGTGTATGATTTTTCAGTTTGAAATTAATGAATGAAATCAAATGATCTTTATGAAAAAAATGAAGTATGTACTGTCAGATGGGAACATTATTATGTTAAGGTTAAGAGAAGAACTTGCATCAGTGGAGCACATAATTAGCATCCAACTAACACATTAGCAGAATTCCTGAAATGCAAAAGGATTGTGAAAAAAAACATTACAGAGTATGAACATGTACAGCACCTGTGCCTACAGGGGACAGTAGACCTTAGTTAACCCAACTAATTAAGTAAAACATGAGAACTATGTACTACACGACTAAACTACAGCCAGAACTCTCAGAGACAGATGGAATCCATTCACTGCAAGAAAAAAGAAAACAGGTTCTTCCAGATTCTGTACTGTACTGCTGTTTAAGTGTGTCCATTACTATTATTACAGCAGGTGTTCAAACAGTTTTAGAGAATCTCAACATCTACTTTTAAAGATAAGCGATACAGGTCACTGGGACAGAGCAACATGCAAATTCTAAAATAAAACAGCTGTCATGATGATGTTGATCGTTTCAAAAACATTAAGGGCATGGAGCAGGTGCAATATTAATGGCAAAGAAGAATGAGAACAAATGGTTCATTTTAGCTAAAGAGCCCAAGCAGGGAATGAATTGGATTAACATCAGACATCACCCTCATAAACTGATCATTTTAAGCCTTTAGAGCAGTGGTTCTCAAACTTTTTTTCAACAAGTACCACCTCTCTCCAAGTACCACATAATGCCCAGTGTTGAAATCCAGTAGCGTAGTAGGCCTAATTAAACAGCTACAGCTTGCACAGTTAAAAATGAGGCAGATTAATTTCTAACTAGAAAAGTAAAGTTCTAGAAAAGTAAAGTTCCCTTGGCCCCCATCCCCGCCTATGTAGCGAGTTTAGTTTTTAAAGTAATTTGCGTAAAAGACACGATGCGTAGCCAAAACTTACATGCATAAAACCAAATTCCCATGCGCAAAATATTATATATATATATATATATTCACAAAAACAATTCACGTGCACAAAATAAAATATACATATTCATAAAATAGGTTTTACAAATGCAAAACACCAACAGTGTACAAAAAGTTTTGAATGTTTAAAATGTGCAAGTTCATCCTGAATGAGAAATATGCAAATCCTCTTTCAAGTATGACTCCCCTAGAAACGTGTGTGTGTGTGTGTTTTGAGACTTTCCTCGCAGAAGCAGAAGGTGACTCGTACCTTTTAGCCAATCAGATAAGAGCTGTATTCGATGTGACCCACACCTTTTGTGCAGTCTGATCCTCTCCAGCATGGCGAATGGAGAAAGAGATTGCCAGGTTTTCAA